AGTGCAAGCAAACCTGAAAGCCTGTCTATGCCACACGTGTGTCAGTCAGCACAGGGCGGGATGCTCCCTGGTGTTAGAGACTTATCACCGAAATCTAAACCATTAACTACCCCTAGGCAGAGTTTCTAGAAAAGCAAACAAAGAAGCAAACTCATGCCTGCCTGAAACTCTGTAGACGTGCCTAGGACTGTGCCTTCTCAGGGATGAAAATTCAACTTAGGAAAAGGGGAAACCCAGGCTAACACAGCAACCTTTGACTAGGTCAAAGGAGGAGCTGCCACCTCATAGCTATCTTTTCTTTCTGACTAAAGAAGAGTAACATTGCACTCTTTGGACTCTTTACAGAACAGTATGCTTCCTTCTAAAACTATGTACCTCTGAGATGTCCCTCTTTTGCTTGTAAGGGTTTAGGCACACACACACACACACACACACACACACACACACACACACACACACACACACACACACACACGCTCTTAATTACAGCAATTTTGCTCATCCTAACAATTCCGCAATGGTATTTTTCTTCTCCAAGGTCTACATTTTCTACATCTGTATTTTTTCAGAACTAACTTCTTTGTTATTTTATGTGAAATCTTGCTGTAATGCTGCCTTTAGGTAGGTGACTAATATGCTAATATTTATGCTCCACTCCAGTGGAAGTCACATTGGTACAATTCTTTCACCACTATCATTTGAAAAGAATGATTAATTGAAAGGCACACAGATTAAACACTTCTCAGCCTGTTCCCCTAGCAACGATTGCAGACTATTTTTCCTGAAGCCCGGGTTTCTGCCTCGAGCTAAGTTTGCAAAGCACCTGAACAGAAATTGGCATATTAGCTAATCAGTTTGTCATTCATCTCTAACGTATTCCAGAAAGCAACGCTTATGAACCTTACATCAGGGTGGAGAAATGGCGAGGGACGGGTCATCAGTGACCCTGACTTGTTAATTTTTAGGATGCAATTGCTAAGCTGATGATGAGGATCTGAACATGATTGTATCTGTGCAATGAGTCACTTACCAACTGAAGAAAAATAAGATTGTTCTCATCATTTATAATTTTCTGAGAAATCCTTGTTGCTGTGGTGATCCTGAGGCCTTTTAGTTTAGAAAAATGAAAAGTCTACATTGCTACTAGCATGGTTAGTAAATGACTAATGTAAGTGATGAACTGTGACTGTGTCAAGGACTGTAACTATACAGTTCAACAGGTGTAACAAAGCACAGCCCAGAAAGAAAATCTCAATCAAATACTGGCCAAGAGTAAGGCCCAGGCACTGCCCTGTTGAGACTCTGCCCTTCACACCTATAATGTGGCCTAGTTCCATAGACAGTTCCCTCCATTGTAAAATAAGGGAAAAACAATATCATCCCTTCCCTGTGTGGATCAAAGAAACCAACAGAGCACACTTCAGACAGTATCTGCACACCATGAGCTCAGCATAACAATGTGGAAGTTGTGATGAGAAGACCCTACTCCTGAAGGTAGCACATACGTTGGTCACAGGAAAGATCACAGAAATGACACTGGTACTGACCTCAGAGCTTCCTCTATGGTGACTAGGTTTTATGGTACCAGAAAGTGCTGTTCAGACTGGTTGGGGAGAAAACCATTACATTACATCCATGTAATGACCAGCCTAGAAAGATAAATCCATTGGTACCATAGTGGCATGCACAGTATGGAGGTAACCAGCATCTTTCTGCATGGATTGAAGGCCTACTCCAAAGGAAGGAACTCATACTTTGTACTGGAAACATGGCCAAGAACCTATTGTTGAGGAGTTCGTAGGCCCTAGGAGTGAACCTACTACTATTATTTTGCTTAGTGGACATAGCATCAAACTATCTTCCAAAAAGTTATCTTTTTCTCCTTTTATTGAAGATAGGTTCTTTTCTCATACAATATATCTTGATTACAGTTTCCCCTCCCTCTACTCCCCCCAATTCCTCCCCACCTCCCCTCCTAACCAGATCCACTCCCTTTCTGTCTCTCATTTAAAAAAAAAGAACAGGCTTCTAAGAGATAACAACCAAACATAACAAAATAAAATGTAAGATAAAACAAAACCATCACATTGAAGTTGGCCAAGGCAAACCAACGGAAGGAAAAGAGCCCCAAGAGCAGGCACAAGAATCAGAGACCCACTCATTTGCATATTAAGGGGTCCCATGAAAACACTAAACTGAAAGCTATAATATATATGGAGAGGACCTGTGTAGGCCCTGTGTTTGCTGCTTCAGTCTCTGTAAGTTCAGTGGATGGTTCAGAGGGCCTTGTTCTCCTGGTATCCTCCATCCTCTCTGGCTCTTAACCCTCTTTCCACCTCCTCTTCATCCTCGTTAGGGATGCTTCTTTTTACATAAGATGGCAGCTAATGCAGAGATTCACAACTGGTCAGAGTGTGAAGAACAAGCGACTGCAGAATCCTCTGGCTTTAATGGGTTGTCTGTATTGCACCCTTGCCCCATTGCGGGAAACAAGCAGGAAGAGGGAACGGAAAGATTGTAAGAGCTAGAGCTTCAGGAAGCCTGCTAAAAAATAATCAGTGTCTTCTAGACATGACAAGGCCATTGTACTCATGATCTCACGGCAACTCTGGATACCTGCCCAAGATCAAGCCAGTCTATGCTCCTGCATGGGCGGGGAGAGGCTCACAAGGCCCCACCCCTGGATAAGGGGCTCTTAGCAGTCGATGGCATTTTGATTACATAGCAAAGCCCATGATTTAAGGAGGAGAGAACAGTGCTTCTGATAGTGAGTGTGTAATTTCACTTTCCACAGTGGATAAAATTTATAAGTCTATGTCTAATGTAGGTAAGAGTCATCCTGGACAATTTTCTTAACACTTTTAAGCTTCAAATTCACAGACTATTTCTCGTAAAAGCGTTCCGATTTTTGAAGTTCAACTGGAGCACTCTTTTATGTTTTCCAGATTTTTTTTCCAGATATAGTCTGTGTTATTTTTTTTCTTTAATGTTTTATACAATATATTTTGATCAGGTTTCCCCTGCCCTAACTCCTCCCAGATCCTCCCTACCTACCCAACTTTAGCGCTCTCTCTCGCTCTCTCTCTCTCTCTCTCTCTCTCTCTCTCTCTCTCTCTCTCTCTTTCAAAAAAAACAGCATACAAAAAGGAATATCAAAGCAAGCAAACAAGAAAAAAGATAAAAGTTGCCAAAACAAATGTAATCAATAACCCACCGAGTTTACTTTGCGCTGGCCAGCTACTCCTGGACAAGGGGACTTCCTGGAGTGAGACAATGTGAGCATTTTTCAATCCCAAGGCTTCCCTCATGTCCTTTGTCAGCTCTCTGACCCCCCCCCCCCCAGCTTTTCATAGGAAAATTGCAGAAAGAAAATAAAAGCACAGAGTTACACTGATAAAAATAAGTCACTGGGAGCAAACTGCTGAGCAAGGTTGCACGTGGCTGGTGAGCTACTGTGTCACTTTCCGTAACCAGGAACCACTAGCATCTAAATACTCCATCCCAATATGCAAGGAGCTGATGTTTTATCCCTGGATATGGTGGTACCCACCTTTAATCCCAGAATACAGGAGGCTGAGGCAAGTGGACTGAGAGTTCCAAGCCAGCTTGGGCTACACAGCGAGTTACTGGCCTGCCCATGAGACCCTAACACACATACATATATACATACATACATACATACATGCATGCATACATATGTGTGTATGTGTATGTATATAAATGTATATGTATTCATTTGATCTTATCATTGCAAACCTGACCAGTTCAATGGAGCTCCCCCAGGTCTCTTTCTCCCATTTTCATTGCTGACAGGGCCGTGCTTCTAGTGTCTCTTTAGTGCATATCCCATTATGGCATGGCATCTTCAACTTGTAAGCATGTTGATTTAGAGGTAGTCCTAGGTTCATGTATCTGCTCATCCCTATTGTAAGCATGTCAGTGGTAAAAATCAGCCTCACCCTGGTTTGTCTCTTGATTAAGCCCCGTACAGGGTACGATGCATTGTGGGCTCTTTTTACTTCTTGAAGGATAAAGCCAGTGGTTTTTATGTGTTTCTTTCACCAGTGGATGAAGAATGGAGCTAAATAGGAACTAGGTTGAGTCCTTGCTGAGATAGAAAACAAAAGGAATTGGAAGTAATGTCATCATGTAATAAATGTAAAACAGAATATATAATGCCCTGCTCAGCTTAACAAATGGTTGTAGAAAATATGAGGAAGCATCCTCTGTGTGGACTCTATAGTGAGGAATGCAGAACAAGATCCAGCAAAACTTGAGGAGAAAGAAACTGACTGCTAACTCTCCCAAGTCGTAGACCAAGCCGGATGGCAAACAGGGAGATGCTTTCAGTAAGCGTAGTGTGTGTTGTATGTGCATGCTGGAGAGGCCAGCAAGAACAAATACTGAAATAAGGTGATTGGCTATTATGAAAACATTGCTGGAAAACCTCCCAAAAGGTGCTTTAATCAGATCCTCTGAGACCAGATAAAAATTAAAAAGAGCTCAGAAAGAGTGGATGAGTGGAAAGTAAATGCAACTGAACAGAGAAGTTGTCAGAAAGAAAAGAGCAGACACGGGATAGTACAGCCGTGAAGTCAGAAAAACCAGGATGAAGCAGAGAACATCCCCGACTCCCAAGTGCTGATGGAGACAGGTCAATGAAAAGTTCAGATCAAATGGCTTTCCTCTCCATCACATTCTTCCACCTCAGCTGTTATAAGAATGAGAAAGTTGAGAAGTGTAAGTTACCAGAGCCAGGGAGTTCCCACTTTCCAGATGCTCCGTGCTTGACTAAGATTGCAACATGGGTGTGCATGTGTTAAAATTATTTTCAAAATGGTTACAGTAAAACTTGAATATTAAAAAACTAATGTCTGAGAGTTAGATAATTAATCTCTATTCCAGAGTCATACAAAAAAAAAAAAAAAAGACAAGGACAAGAAAAAAGTTAAAAAAGTTCACTTTTATTGAAACTGAACTTCTCTTTCCTGTCTGACTAGGTTCCCCAAGATGAATGGACAGGGTACACACCTCGTGGGAAAGATGATGAGATCCCATGCCGAAGGATGCGAAGTGGCAGCTACATCAAGGCCATGGGCGATGAGGACAGCGGGGACTCAGACACCAGTCCCAAGCCTTCTCCCAAGGTGGCTGCAAGAAGAGAAAGCTATCTCAAGGCTACACAACCCTCCCTCACAGAGCTCACCACACTCAAGTGAGTAATCCTACTACCTCTGTGCTTCCCTTATCCCCCTGTGTCAGCGCCCGGGGTCCGACCGATGACTAGCTGGAGTGGAGCAGGAAACATCCTTCAGATACAGTGGCATAATGACTAGCCTATTGGTTTTGACATTGAATTTTGACTTGTAAATACCAGTGTCGTCAAAGACAGGGAAATGTAGGTGTACTCTTAACCCCCAAAGGCAATCAGAATGTTTCTGGAAAAAAAAAAAAATCTGGTCAATGAAAGGACCCACGTACTCCATTTTGGAACCTTTTTTTCAGCCACTAAATATACAAGGGAACTCTTCCTTGGAAGACTTGGATTTTCAGAAAATTATGTAATGTGATGGAGATGTTTATGTCAGAGAACTGTATAGAATGTAATCATGCTGGGAAATTGGGTAGTGCATGATAGTTCTTGATAAGTATGTTTGAATTTTAACTCCACACATATTATAGTTTGCAAGACCTTAAAAGTGTTTTTGTTTATTTTGAAAAATTGAGTATGAATCTTTATATGTGTGCTGTTTGGAGAAAAACAACTTTGTAAAGGAAACAACTAAAACTATTTTTTTTTGAGACAATGTCTCACTGTGTTGCCCTGGCTGGCCTGGTGCTCACTGTGTAGTCCAGGCTGACCCTGAACTCAACAGAGATGTGCCTGCCTCTGCCTCCTGAAAGCTAGGATTAAGGGCCTTGTCACCACACCCAGCCCAGACACTGATTACTTCAAACAGATCTAATTTTTTATATTGTTTATAGAGAGTAAGTCAGAGCCTTAGAATATAGATCATTTGGACCTAGAAGGTATATTGTGGGTAATTAGTATTTTTAAAGTACCCTCTTTGTAAAATACATGTGACTATTACTATTCATACACTTGCCTTAGGTTACAGAGTGAAATATTAAGAGACAGATAAAGCAGAAAAGGACAAAGCAGCTGAGTTAAGGTATAAATGTAAAAATACAAATCAGATTATTGATCAAGGACACTGAAAAGCAGCTGATTAATCTATAACAAGAATTATTTAAGTAACGAAGGGCATAAGGCATAACGAAGGGCATACAGGAAAATCTAGTCTTGGGTCCTTTTCAAGGGACCATATGGAATTGCTCTGAAGTCTTTTTAATTGAAGATTAGCGCTGATCCATTAGTTAGCTAAACCACAAAGAGAACTTGTTCTTTCTACCCTTCCCATGCCTGTGTTCCTTCACTTTGATTTTGTGTGTTACTAATCAGGGCTGTCATCACAAATTCAGCACAAACAGCCAATTTCCTGCTTCCTAGCACAGGAAGTTAGACATGTTGGGGTGCACACCTGCCAAAACCTTCAGAGGTCAAGCCTTCCTTGTTTCTTCTGGATTCCAGTTGAGGCCAGCAGCACTTGGCATCCCTTGGCTGACATTACATCACTCTCACGACACCAGCCGTAGCATTAGGGAACTCCCTAATCAGCCTCATGTTACCTTGATTAAATCTGTAAGACCTTGTTCTTGCTGTGAGTATTCACAGATACTGGCATTGTATCTGTCTGGGGGACGTGAGTCAGCCTACAACGTGACTGCCGGATAGAATTTGGTTGTGGACATTTATCTGAAAAGGGAAACAAATCTCTGTTGAATTTCGACACACCTGCAAGAGACACACAAAAAAATTAAATAGTAAACTGATTTTGTGAGAGAGAGAAAAAAAAAAAGATGGTGAGCCAAAGTGTTGTGAAGTGAGGGTAGCCAGAAACCCTGGCCAAGTGTGTGTGTGTGTGTGTGTGTGTGTGTGTGTGTGTGTGTGTGTGTGTGTGTGTGTGTATGTATAGTAGGCCGTAAAATATCTCTCTACAAGAGATAATAATTGTCACAGTCATGGTGTGAAAAGACAAGTGAAGGCAGGCAGGGGGCAAGAAGTCACATTAGTCCTTCAAGTTTATCTGAAATGAAGAGGTGAGGATGGGCAGCCTCCAGCATCCTCCCCCATCCAGAGCATCCTGTCAGGTCATCTGCAGGACATGCTGGACACATTAACTAAGTGACACCTTGGGCCTTAGGTGACAGCAGACAATGATTGCTACTGCTCACCACTATACACAGAGATGAGGTGAACAGACAGGAGAAGGGCTGTGAGAATAACGAAGAAAGCCTTGGGGAAGCAGGAGACAGGCAGATTCTGAACTCAGCATTCCCTGTTTTGCACTAGGGACATTCTACTGAAAACTCTTCCCAGAAACACATCCCTTGAAATTAATTCTCCTTCGCTTTCTACCTAATACTCATTCACTAACTTCCTGGGTCATATCTAGACATCCATATTCTTTTATTCTCCAGAAGTTTTAAGAGCAGAAAGAGACTCTCAAAGAGGCAAATAGTGACTGCTCACTGGTGTGTCCAGCTTTATGACATTGTGACATGCTGTCATCTACAAAGTTCATGCTCAAGAACCGTGTGATTGAGTCACCAAAAAGTGTCAATGTTTTAAGTAAGTTTATGGTTGGTTTTGAGGGGGGTGGGGGGGCGCACTCATCTGAGGCACTTGTAGTCCATGGACCACAGGTCAGACACTCCTGGAGGAGGATGTTGACGTCAGTGAAATGCTCAAATTGAGTGTGAGTAAGTGAGGGCTATTTCTAGTCTCCAGACTGATGGAAACTCAAAATGGAAATCAGTTTATTCACAAATTTTTTAAAAAATGTTTTTCATTACTCAGTATAGAGTTTCATCAAGCCTTCTCTGTGTTGAACCCTATTCCTCAGCGGGCCAGAGAATGTCTGAGCACTGTACAATCGTGCCTTTCTTCTCTGTGTGAACATGACATTCCCCACAATTATTCCTAAATCTACTTCTCAGCATTAATTTCTCCCTGTCCTGTTTCATGAGTCCCATGTATTACCACAGTCTACATATTACATTCCCATCATACTCAGTCACATACGATCATTTACTGACATCTAGCTTAACCATACTGAAGGAGAAAAAGTCGAAAGTGTCATGATTTGGACTCAATCCTGTCTTATTTCTTGGTGGTGTTTTGACTGGAGTCATTATTTTTCTAGAAGTTTGAAGCTTTTAGTCCCTCATGCAAAAAAAAAAAGATACCCAGATCCTGGAATTCTAGTTCCCCCAAAAAAAGAAAACTATATTTATGTTCCTACTTCTTTGACATTTAAGTCAATTTTTTTTTCCTCCTTCCTCCTCAACAATTCACAGCTTTAGGAATGAATCATCGACATGAACCAAGATAACTAAAATTAGTCAAGTGGGACGGGGACAACATTGCGTCTGAGGCTTTCCACTCCCCTCTTCTCTCGGAGATGGAGAGAGCACTCCTACTCTTCCTTCCATTGTTTTTCTTCTTGTTTTCCAAAAGCATCTCGAGAATTTGTCCATGTGTCAGCTCCTTAATGTTAGTGATTGGGTCTTCAGCACACGAACCCTACAGGCAGGTGAACATTCTGAAACCATGAGAAGGCTGGACGGTGGAGTCCATCTTCGGACTTGCCGAGCTCCGTAGTAACTCCTGTCTCTCTCACGTTCCTCTTCCTCATCACTCCACTGACCCTTCACTTCATCTCTAGCTTCTCCTTCTTCTATGATGAGCTGACAGTGCACCTGTAATGACATTGTCCCAAGAAAATTAGTATAATGTTTTCCCAAGAAGCTTCTTGAATATTCAATAATAAATTTTCAGGTAAGTAAGGAAGAAGCTTGGGAGTTAGAGTTTTTTTTCAAAACACATCCCCGCAGTTCAGCTCTGAAAAAACATAGGTCTTTTATCTAAATTCTTTATAATTTTGTTTGTTATCCAAGCTAGACTGCAGAATGCTATAATGGTTGGTTAAAATCATGCCCAAACCAGTCTTGAATTTTATTTCACTCAAATATGCTATAGAAGAAATGTTCTAAAATGATACTAAGTGAGCTGCCCTTTAAAACATTCTAAAAGTAGGTAGGGTTTGTTGACACATGACTAATCCCAGCAGTCAGGGGGCAGAGGTAGATAGATCTCTGTGATCTATGTAGTGAGTTTCAGGCCAACCAAGGCTATCTCATGAGATCCTATCTCAAGAAAATGACAAATAATAATAATAATAATAATAATAATAATAATAATAATATGAGATACTCTAAAGTTAAGTTCAAATACCCAGTAATCCAAAGCAAATAATGCTTTAAAGTTTCCTCATTTTTTTTATCCCTTCATCCCAGCAGTAGGTGAAAAAAAATCCCCAGGGGGAGAAAATACCTTCTTAAACCACTGAGGAAGACCCCTGGCTTTATAGTGGGACCAGTCTGGGCTCTTAGCAATTTACACAGTGACAACACGTGACTTCAAAGGGGTTAATGTCCAGTCCTGTATTTCAGATGGTTTATCCTCTTCATCTTTATTTATTTCCCAACTCCTCACTTTCTGAAAGATAAATTAATTACTATTCTCCTGTTGTGACCAAATAGACAACAAAAAAGCAACTCATGGGAGAAATAGTTCATTTTAGCTCACAGTTTGAGAGGGCATGGTCTGTCCTAGTCTGGAGATATGGCCACGCTCACAGCACCTGGAATTCCTTCCATCTGGACAGTCCATGAAGCAGAGAGCTATAAATGGCCCCCTTTTCCTTTTTTGTTCAGAATGGGAGCCCATTCCATGAGGTAGTATTATATTACCCTCAGTGTGGGTAACTCTTTCCTCCCCTTAAACATCTCTGACTACAGCTGTGGTTGATATAGTGTATACCTTAATAAACTTATCTGGGGATTCAAGTACAGAACAGCCACTAAATTAGACATAGAGGCCAAACAGTGGTGGCACACACACCTTTAATCCTATTACTCGGGAGGCAGAGATCCATCTGGATCTCTGTGAGTTTAAGGCCACACTGGAAACAGAGCCAGGCATGGTGGCACACACCTTTAATCCCAGAACTTGAGATCTCATGTCTTTGCTTGCAAAGGACACAGCCTTTAATCCCAGGAAGTGGTGGCAGGAAGCAGAAAGGTATATAA